CTTCTCAGAGGTGACATTCTTTAAACTAGTGTTGCAATTCCCATCAGAAGTAGAGAGCTGTGATGCAGCACACTGAGCAGACATGTCACTCGAGGAGCTTTAGTCATGTGTGACATTAGCAGGATGGAATGTTTTTTCAGCTGATGTTTCAATCCTCACCATGTTTGGTCCGATGGGCTCCAATGACGGCCTACTGTTTTCAAAAATACTGCTTGAAGAAATATCCTGCGTTACTTCCAGAAATGTTTGCGTTCTGTTTCCCCCCACACTTTTATCAGATTTTTCGCTAAAGGAGATTGTGTTCTGTACATCGTTGTGTTCTGTACATCAGATTGGCTAAAATCCATGCTCTTATTCAGAGGGCGGATTATTTCAGTCTTGCCGTTTGAATTTGGGGATGAAGTCAGTTGGAAAGGGAGACTGCAGGAATATCAAGCTCATACAATTTACGTGCAACAACAGGATCCAAGCAACCCAATTCCGGCTTGCAGAGGCCGCAGTTGAGTGGAATACCGACAGGCATCCAGAGAGCTTCGACAGGTCTCAGACCACTATCCATGAGAAACAACACATCTTCAAATACAAACAAACTCTGTGGACCTGCAGCTACTTCTCCTGGGATAAAGACTTTACAAAAGAACGCAAAGAAGCAGCCATTAACCAGAGATACTGTTTTGTCAGAACCAGAGAAGGGCAATTCAAAATAGGGCTCCAGTCCAGCAGGTGGTGACAGGGAGCCTAAAATCTGTGGTTCAACTGGAGATGTGGATCAAAGAAGAGTGTGAGTCTCCTATTTACTGAGCTTTGACTGCACACATCCTGAAGAATGCACACTCTCAGCAGAGGAAAACAATTCACATGTGAGAGAGGAGAGGAGACTCAAGGATTGACCAGAGATGCTGCTGGTAAATAGATTTGTAATGTAATTATTGTTTGGAAGAATGTTTTGATTTAATGATTATTATTTCTGTCTTATGAGGATTAAGCTCAAATATAAGATGCTGGAATATAATTACCTTTGTTTGAGATGCATTTACTTTTGATTAAATGTTAAGTTTAACTTGTAACTTGATTACATTTAAAACCAAAGAGCAGAAATGAAAGTGCTTTTTAAGTAATGGCATTGTTTTTCATTGAAATGTTTATTTGCTAAAGTGATGAAAGTATGCTTTGTGTTAAAGATGTTTCAAACTAAATGATGCGAACAGGAAGCAAAATGAAATCTAAATAACTCAAAATAAGAGGAAGATTTCAAATTTTAGTTGTCTCCCGTGTTTCCTTTTGGAGTGAATCAAGCCATTTTCAAGTTATAGGCAGGAGTCAATCTAAGCAAACCATAACTTGACAGATTACTTCCCTTCTCAAATGGTAATACTGAACGCCTCAAAATCTTTCGTGGTCAGGATACTGGCAAATGGAATAAAAAAACCCAAACAGACCACAACCACTAAGAGAACTTGCCAGCCAACTCAAAGGGAAGCTCAGTGCTAGCCCAGTACTGCTGCTGAAATCCCACTTCTGACACCAATTGTGAAGCCGACATTGAGCGGCCGACCAACAAGGCGGCAGAACGTCCAAAATATAACCCAGGTGTGGGCATTTATTAAATCAAGCATAGAGAACATCAGCCTCAATCTTGCTGTCCCTGTGAGCACAGCCACAAGGGATCTCACACAACCAACAAAACAGGAAACACAGAGCCTAAATACCCACACTAATTAGCCCAACAAGACCACAGGTGAAGGGGGAGGAGACAACCAACAGGGCACCAGGTGAACATAATCAGGAGCAACAGAAAAAACAGGATGGGGAACACTTTTCAAAATAAAACACATGTGCAATATACAAGGCCTGAAGCCGTCAGTCCACAGTGACAAAGTTATCTTCGTCACACCTCCCAATTCTAATAAAAAATGATTCCCCTTATTGATTAATCTGTTTATTTAGTTTTGGAAATATCCATTCCTTGTATTGTCTATATAAGACAATAAACTAGTGGACATATTGTATCCTTATTTCCTGAGCGTCCAGTCACTACTGTGGCTCTTATCTTCCCATAATTAAAATAATTACATCTAATACAGCTGACCTCTCATTTTTCTATTGCTTTGACCTGATCGCCCCTGCAGATCAATTTGTCTGATATGCTTTCTAATGGGTGGGAAAGCTCTAAGTGTCCATGAATAATGTTTTTTTGAATATTTCCCATGTCTGCAACATTTCCCCCTTCTATTATGTGTGCCCTTTGGCTGATGCTAGTTAAGCTTTCTAAAGTGTTTGAGACCGTTACCTACCGGTGTCATCATTATTAGATGTGGTATGTCTAGGTAGAGAGATTCTCAGTGAAACCAGTAGTGTAATCTTACCTAATGCAACGATTGTCAAAAGGTGATCTTCAGCATACATGATATTTTCGGCTAAATTAATTGTGATACAGGTCGCACCCATGGGATAAACTTTGGCTCAATAATAGTGAAAACAACAATCTACCTTTAAAAAAAGCAATGCACTCTGCTCTCAACACCCATGAATGACAACGTGAACAAAGCCTTGCAGCAGTGTGAAAACCACACAAACTCAATCCGATGAACCACAAATAACCTTCAAATACCAGACCCTGACACCGGCAACCTGAGGGAGCGGAGCATCTCTTTATGGGCCTTGAAACATGGGGAGGAAAGCTAGAAGATGTGGAGAGAAAAGAGTAGCAGGGGATAAAGGCGGAGAAAGAGTGTTTGATTGTGTGTCTCTGTCTTCTGTGTCCTTTGGAGCATCCCCAGGCCTGTCTGCTCTGTTCTCTCCGCGGCTGAGGCTCCGCACTGTGAGCCAACATGGTTTTAGCCAGGGCCGGCACAGACAGACAGCTGCTATTAAACCCTGATTGTTTCAGGTTCACAGGGTGTGAAAGGGTCTGATTGAGGGGCTGTGATCCCAGTGAGGGTGGTCTTTCTACCCCTCTCTCCCTCCCCCTCACCTCCCTCTCACTGGAAGGTGGGAGGGTGTTGGGGAGAAGGAGGATTGGTGGGGGGGGGGCAGGGCATCACGTGACACATGTTTCTTGCTGAGCAGACCAAAATGGAATCTGGACAAAAACACACCACTTGTTGTTGCCTGCTTCTGGGTACCAGTGTGTCACACAACAAGCGGTCAATAAACAACAATTAAGTAACATTATTATTGCAAGATAGAACTACAAAAAGTTAAGGTTTGAGCTATTTTATATTCCAGATTTGGACTCGCTTGTCTCTTAAGGAACAACTTTCCTTCCTCAAATTTCCTCTAAATTAAATGTTGCTTCAGCATACAGATTAAACATCCTCCACCTACCTTTGTTTACACTGACCTAAAAGGAAAAGGGATTCATCCCACTAACTTCAATTGTATTCAGCCTGATAGACACTTATAAGGGCTCTGATATGGTTGTGATAAAGCCCATCAGTCCTCTCCTGTGACTGGGTAGGGGGACAGTTGCTTCCTGTATGGTCTATTTGTTTAAGAGCATTCCCATTAAGGAGCCTTTTGGCCTTAACACACTTGATAAAGACCAGGGAGGGTGAGGAAGCTCCCCTGCAGAGCTTTTCACACGTGGCCAAAGAACAAGTGCACTTTCCTCCCTCGAAAACTCTCCCCCGTCTCAACCTTGAGGAGGGCCCGAGTGCTTCTCCGTAAAAAACAGAATTTGTGCTTCTTTTCTTGAAAATATGTTCGGATTGAATTCAAAAGTAATATCTGAGGGGCTTTTCCTAGTCACAAAAAGGACGTTTTTCACGCACTTATGTTTCACAATATGTCAACCTCTGACTCTGGTTTTTTTACCCTTGTGGTCATTTATTTAAACAATAAATAATATAACTATTTGGTAAATGTCACAATTTCCCTATAAAAACATTCCACATACATCATTGTCTTTCTAACATGTTTTGTTTTTTGAGATCTACTAAAAGAAACGTTGTGGCTTACAAATACACCCTCCATGAGTGTGTGTGCAAATACTGTTTAGTGAGGTTGTGAGTTTGTGTGCTGAGCACTTCTCACTGTCACTTTGGAATAAATAAGTGTTTGGCTCTTCTATTGAGTCCAGTGTTGACGCTCTTCAGTCCAGGGCCACTGCATGAAGACCAGCACCCTAATCTACCCACATTAGCAGCTACAGTCACCTCTTAGAGAGATAATTAGATTAGAATATAATATATCTCAGATTAGAGATGGATTAGGGAGGCTTCACAATGCATGTTTATTTTAACCAGAATTGAGAACAAAATGCAGCAATATCATCCAGTGCATCATTTTTAAATGGGTTGATGGGGCTTTTGCATAGATTTCTCCCTCCTGGAACCTCACACAGTGCTCAGTGAGGATGTTGTTGTGTGGGTGTCCTGACAGAAACCCACATTTGGAAAAGATATTGGCACCTCAAGTATTTCAGGTTACAAGAAACAGCTGTTCTCGGGTGGCCCTCAGACCCTCGGCTATGTGTGATTTTAAAAACGTATTTAGTCAGACCCCTAAAAAAGAAACACTTCCCCCGGGAGACCAACGTATAAAGACAGGAAAGCGTACATTCTTTTATGTCTAAACTTGTTTCTGCAGGCTTATGCTTCACATCTCCACAATTAGATAGAAAAGACAGTACCAACGCTACTTTGGGATAAGGAGAAATTAATCCACAAAAACTAGCGTATAATACATTTTGATCGGATAGTAGAAATATTATGCAACTCAATTACTGCACATTGCAGTGTACAGGAAGTGTTAAACAGCCTAATTAAATCAAACCAACGCTTCACAATGCGTCCCAAAATCCCCTGAATAGATAAAGCCAAAAGAGGACGTACTAAACTTTCACTAATAACACGTTTTCTTTCTTACTACAGAAAGTACGTAATGAATATGCAGTGCCGAATGATTGAAATACAACTTTCCACCCACGAATAAACTCGTAATTAGATCATGATTGCGTGTGATATCAAGACAGAAAATGAATCATCAGCTGTGCTTACCTCAGGTTAATGCAGGAACATTCAGCATGAAACTTTCTGACTTGATTCCCAGAGTCCTTGGAGGAGCTCAGTGTCCAAGGACTGCTAGAGTCTGAGTTTCCAGTAAAGCCTCCCTTCGCTCGACTTTCTCTCGACTTTTTGGCAAGACGCGCTCGGATGGAGATGACGGAATTCTTCACAGAAACCGACACTTTATCCTGTCTCATAAGTGCTTTCCCATAATTTGTGAATTCAGAGTCACTATACGCAAACGGTGATAGAATTGAACCCCATGTTCGGGCTATGGAGTTCCTCAAAGCGCCCTGGAGTTGGTTGCACAGCCAATGCGGGAATGCGCACCCCCTTCTCCTCCTCCCTCCTCCCTCCCTTTCTCCAAAGTCTGTGGACCACCCCGAAACAGGAAGTTCACTTTTTGTTTTTCTTAAAAAAGAGCCATGCTGCCTCAGTTTTCCCCTTAAAGTTAACATGCACTACAGTTTACCAACACTGATACATTTGCAATCCCTCGCCTTTTATTCTGTGCGAGTAATTACAAATACATTTACAGCGAGATGTTTAAGTTATATAAAGTCATTACAGCATGCATATGTTTATAACATACTTGTATGGACATGGCTGTGTCTATATAAAGTGCGTTCCTATCTAATAATTGGGATAATCTATCTATAAATGTTTTTGTTTACTTTAATGGTAACTTCATAGCTTCTCGGACAGCGTGTGTGGCTGCTACGTGTGGGGATGCTGCAGATTGCTGCGCCTTGCCAGTAAAATCCACAACAAAACCAGGACTGGAGTTCAGTCTGCAGCTCAGGACCACAGGCAGAGGATAAAGAAACACTAGTGAGAGTATGGATACCATAATAAATTAGAAGGAAAAGTCATGGATCCAAAATGTACGTTAAGGTAGAATACACTGGAGTTGAAATGTAATTCTAATATCAAAATAATTGAGTCAGTTCAGAATGATGATTATTAGATCATAATCACTGACGCATAAATGTATAAAAGTGTAGCTAATGTTATTGTGAAACTTACCAAAGTAGTAATCACTTGGTGAAGTTGTATCATAACTAATACAAATGCATCATCATTTAATTAATTTAATTATTTATATTTATGTTAAAAATGCAAAATATGTGAAGTTATGAGGTTTAAAGTTCAATATATCCCTCTAAAATTTAGAGGAGTAGCTGTATAAGTTAGCAGGACTTACTCAACTTACTTAAACACTACAAGCAGCACTGCAGTACTTGTATACAAGCAGTACTAGATGTACTTAGTTACTTACCATAGAACCCAAGCTTTTTTGTATCTTTTTTCTATAGATAACCTACGATCATGCAATATATGTACAAGGAACACTGATTTGAGCAGAATATACAAAACATCCAGTGCAACGACGGAAACTGTTATCACATTTTTAGACCAAATCAACAAAGCACGTCTCTACTCAGGACAGTTCTTACACTTTCACAGCAGTTTTATTTGGTGAATTTATTTGCATCTGCATGGCATACCAAACATAAATAGGACATTAGGTTTGTAGCTGACCTGCTTAAAACCCTTAGATGCACGAGTGACTGGACCCACACTCTTCCATAAGTGGGTCTAAAAGGACCCGTATTAGAATAATGTGTTTTTATGCCATTGTTGTCATTTTGGTTAAGAAAAATCACTTGTATAATATTTAGTATTAGATTTTGGTTCGCATTTGAAATATTTAATATTTAATATTTCACAATTTATAATTTTAGACTTTTTTTTTTAGATTTTGAAAAAAGACTTTTGAACATATTGTCCCAAAGATATCCGCTATTCTGAGACCCTCACAGTATTCCAGTCCCTTTTCAAAACTCATCTCTTCTCCTCTTGTCTATAGCCCCCCCCCCATCAATACATTCCGGTTGATCAAGTTTGATAGTCCTATACCCCCCACCCTAACCTTCCCTTATATTGTAAAGCGATTTTGAGTCCTTGAAAAGCCCTATACAAATATAATGTTTTTGTTTTTTTATTATTATTATTATTATTATTATTATTATACTGAGAGGTATCAGATATTGCTGTGCAAAATAATCTTCCTGAGAGGTGTCACTTGTGATGTAGTCTGTGTGGTCTACAGTGAATGAAATCAACAGGTGATAAGAATAAAAGGTTCCCATATTTCCATAGAAAATACATAGGGGTCATTTTTGACCCACTTATGGAAGCTTGGGGTAGTGATACAAAAACTACAATTTCTTAAAATTTTAATTTAAAATGTGTATGGCATGATATCGAAAATATGTTTTTTGAGGAATAGCTGGAATATGAAATGATAAAAAAATGTAATTACAAAAATACTTCAAGAAAACCACCTCACCGGGTCCAAAAAGACCTACTTATGCATCTAATGGTTAAGGAGAATTGTTCAATACCCACATTGACCACAAGCTGGATCACAAGGTAAACAAGGCACAATTAGTTTTGCACCAATTATATTGTTCGACATAGTGTAAAACACATTATGTTGAAATTAATTGGATAAAACAGTATATAAGAAAATGCTATTTAGAATATTTCTATTTTCACTTTCAAAACTCTGGTAAATGTATTGAACAATAGTGTAAAAAGGGTGTTCAGTAGTTGTACATTAATCATACATCTGTAAATACAAAGCACTTTTACTAAAAGTAACACAGTAAGAATGAAGAGTATGATCAGTGTGTGTCCTGAACTAGGGCAGGAGGTCATTAAGAACATACGATCAGAGGATACTTCAGATTTTCGCAATGCAATCCTTTTTTTAATTCCTTCACCATTTAAGACTCATGAGGGCCACCATTATAAACGTATATGTCAATACATTTCCAATCAGTGAAAAATAAATAAATACCGTGATATACCGTGATACCGTTGTAATTTGGAAAAATACTGTGATATGTTTTGTTGTCATAGGCTACTCCCCGCGATTTTTCAAGTTGGGAGTTTATCATTGTCACTCATCAGCTTTAACAGAGCAGGGCTTCTTACACACACGTCTACAACCTCACAAAAAAGTGCAAACTGTTACCGCTTTGGTCTGACAGCAATTATATTGAGTTATTAAGGTTTTATCTGAGTTATATTTCAACCGTTCAGCAGACCTGCATTTTGATTAGCTAAGGCTGGGTCGAAAATTCTGTATAACAACAACTTTTGTGTTGTTAAACCTTTGTGAACTGAGTTATATGTGCGCAAAAAACACATTACAAATTACATTTGAAAAAGGGCACTTCTCTAGGAGGGCGAAAGGGCAGGTGCTCAAAGTGTATAGTGCAATTAAAGCTTCTGTTTGGGTTCAATCTGCTAGCTTAATAAAGGTTCATCCTTACAACATTAACACACAATTAAAGACTGCCAACCAAGCTTTCATTTAGAGCAACCAATTTGTCATGTAACAACATTGAGAAACAAAATGTTACCAATTCAATATCTTATCGCCTAAAACCTGGGCATAATCATTTCAAAGTTTTAAACCAAGTTTTGCACATTAAATTTGACTAATCTGTCTTGTACACAAATTACCTCAAGAAACTGAACCTTTTATGATTAAAAAAAGATATTCATAAAACAGTTTATCAGTAACTACATTATATTGTATTTTGTTGTTGTGATACAATCATTTGTTCCTTTTTGTATAGTTGAGATAAAAGATAAGACATTAAACATGTAAACAAACAAACAAACAACGTGTTGTTTAAATACAAATAATGTAACTTCTACTTCTGTTAAATCTTGTCTTGGCATTCATTCACAATATAAAACAGAGGAATGCAGAAAAAACAATGAAAAAGAAAATCAACCTGAAGAATGTTCTGCCTGCATCTTCCAGCAGCAACGGACAGTTTTTCTGAACCAACTGTAGAAGCGCTTGCCTCTTCTCTTATTTTTCACCTCACCCTGGCTGATTGTCAAGTCAGCCTGCAAACAGGTCCATCGTGGGGGATAGAAGAACCAGAATCACAGCAGGGTGTAGTTCTCTGCTGAGCTCCACATCCTCACAGTCCGTCTCTGGTGTCTGCTGGTTCAATCTGGCTGATTGTGAATCCAACCTGGATTACACTGATGGCAAGAGGTCCATCTGCAGGGGTCACGGGAGGAGGAGGAGCTTCAGCAACAGGAGATTCTGCTTTTAGGCTGAGCGTAGAGAAAGCATCCTCTGTTTCATCAAAGCCAGAGTTGGCACAAGAGTCAGGAGCTAGGTGTCACTGAATCAATCCAGTGGCTGAGACAAGACAGCAGAGTCTGGTTTTCTGGTGATCTTTTCACCCATATTTTCATTATTCAGGTATGCTGTCCCCTACACCCCCTCCCCCTGCATCGTTCATTTATGTCAGAATGGGATCTGCTGTATCTTTTCATTACTGGGTCAAAACAAAGGCTCAGACTTGCCAGAATTGGTGTTCGATAATATACTTGAAGAAATAGTGGTACACGACAAAATATGAGGATGAGATATATTTCTCCGTTTGTGTATAATTAATTATGGCATAACAATTCAACAAAGGATAATTTAGCATTTATTAGTTATAAAAGCTTTCAAACTTTGTGTCAGTAATCAAATAATTTATCTAAAAAGGTGCTTTGTTATGAAAAATAAAATGGCACTGAAAATGTCTTCATCAGTAATGCATACAGACTTATTTTGACCAGAGGATTTACATGTACTGTAAAGCTGTTCTCTAAATGAGAACTGTTTAAAAGATAAATCAACTATACTTTGTCCACTTGGCGGCAGCAACACACATTTAACATAGAGTATTATACCTTAGTTACAAAGACTTGCCTATTTTGCCAACAACAATAGTATTAAAATAAATATGGGGTTTTTTGTCCTGACAAATATAAAGTCCATTCACTCTCATTTGAGCTCTTTTTGGTCCCCACCAAGTTCTGAAGAAATGATCTTGCTATTTGCTGCTAAACTACATGCTGGGAAGTACAGATTTGACTGTATTATGTAAAATATGCTTTAAGGCAATTTAAAGAAGGGATAGGAGTAAGGTAACTTGGCTGAATTATTAGATAAAGATCATTATATCATAAATATGGTTATGATTTTTTAAAAACACTGCAAAAAGTAAATTTTGAAATACCATTGCCAATTTGAAGGTAAAAAACAACAACTATTGCAGAGTTGAGAATGTTGAAGTAAAGTAAACATATATATTTATATGATGTTGTAGCATTAATGAAAATATATGAAATAGTTGTTTTCCAGCATAATGGACGGCCATTCCTGTCATGTTATGTGTCACCGTATTATTTGTCCAAA